TTGAGCCCTTGCTGCACCTGCTCTGACAGCCCCTGTCCCCCACCCCAAACCCACCCAGAGGAACAGGAGAACTGACCCCTCCTGAGGGTGGCCCTCCACGAAGGGGACCAGCCCCCAGCCTCCTGCCCTCCCAACATGTAGTTGGGGGGCGGCCTTAGGTGCTCTGGGGGTCACCTCCCAGATAGACTACTTGCTCCATTCCTCAGCCTGGGCTGTGCTCTGAGGGAATCCCAAAGACAATTGTGTCAACTTCCTCCCAACCTGCTCAGGAGCAAAGGCCACAGTCTAGCACCTTGGGTCCCACCAGCAGGCTTGCTTCCTCCCCGCCCCGGTCTGCTCCTTAGGATCCTGTTGAGCCAGCAGGTAGGGGTGGGGTGGGGGGACCCAGCTTGTCCTGTACAACTCAGCAGGGCTGAGAACAAAGTGGGGGTGAAGGGGGACGACCAGGCATCTCCTGTCACAGTGAGGGTGGAGGTTGAGAGCTAGGGACAAGAGGGGCTCAGGCTCCCTGATGGGGGAGGGCGAGATGCCCACTGGGGCAGAAGCCCCCTCACTTCATAGCAGAGCTGAGTTTGGCACCCCTGTCCCAAAGAGACCGGGCCTCGGACTTGGGCCTCAGCAAGCCAGAGCCCATCACAAGCAAGGAGGAGCCCGCCCAGTCAGTCTTAGCCCCCCGCCCCACCCCCTGTACCCTCAGGAACTCCAGAGTAACCGCTGTCATCTCTCAGCTTCTGGGTCTCCCGACTTCCCTCTCTCCATCCCAGTTGGTTTATACCCTCATTAACATCACTCCTCCCTGCAAGAGTTGATAAGGTTCCTGACACTGCCATCTGGGTTCCACCCAAGACCCCCGAACCCACGTTCCAAGCTCTCTTTGGCCAGGCCTCACTCCCCACCCACCCCCGCCCCCAATCCAGGCTACCCCAGCCCCACAGCCCCGGCCTCTCCCAGCTGGCCACACACTCCTGCCCTCGCATGAGGTTGGGGCTGGGGGCGGGGGATGACGTGCTGCACTCACCAAAGACAAGCAGCTCCAGCCGTCACCCACGGGTGTGTTCACGACTCTTGGACCAGGAGGGCCCAAGAACGTTATGAACAGTGGAACGGCCAGGGAAAGGGTCCCCGCCTCACCTGCCTGCTGCCTGGCTTGCTCTAAGACAGAGGTTCCTGAGCTCGCTGACCCCCCTCCCCTGCAGGAAAGTCACTGTGCTGCAGTCAGTGAACAGCTTTTGGACTAGGACCCTCATCCAGAATGCAGCATGCTGTCTGCATGGTGTGGGGTCGGTCACCCACGCTGGGAAACACTGCTCTAGAGAACTAACTAGCTAGCTAGTAACTGACTAACTAGCTAACCAGTTGCTGCAGAGCCCACGCACCTCAGAGCAGACTGTGCCTACGGCTGTCACGGCTGGTTTGTTAACAGCCCCGTCAGACCTTTTCACAAGGCACCTCTGGGTGGCCTCGAACCGCCCGCCTGGCAGTCAGCAGCTGAGAGCATCATCCGGTCCCACCGCCCACGGCTGTTACTGGGCTCCAACCCATAATGACCCATGCACAACAGAAAGAAACAGTGCCGGGCCCAGGCCATCGATGGACCCCCTCCAATAATGACCCCCCTCCCTACACTGAGTCCATTCTGACTCACCGTGAGCCCAGGCCCTGACTCTGTGGGAGCTCAGTCTCCGCTTTCGCTGTCTGAGCAACTGGTGGGTCTGGGCCTCCGACCTGGTGGCTAGCAGCCCCTCACCCAACCCGCAGAGCCACCAGGGCTCCATGCGGTCTCAGCTCACTGTCCTCGGGAGGAACGAAGCCCCCGGGGCCCAGGGCAGTCAGGAGACCCCACACCTGAGCAGCAGTGTTTCCTGTTGTTTCTCTTATCTGGGAGAAGATGTCAGTGTTTGGTCTTGTTCTGTGTGTGTGCATGCATGTGTGTATATGTATGTGTACACGTGTATGGGCATGTGTGTATGTGTACCTGTGTATGAGTGTGTATGTGTACATGTGTGTGCACGTGTATGTGTGTGCATGGGGGTGTGTGTATGCATGTGTGTATGTGTGTGTATGCATGTGTCTATGTGCATGTGCACCTGTGCACGCATGTGTATATGTACGCGCGCACATGCATGTGCATGTGTACATGTGTGCGCACATATACATGTGTGTGCATGTGTCTATGTGTATATGTATGTGTACCTGTGTGTGAGTGTGTGCATGTGTATATGTGTGCGCGCACACATGTCTATGTGCATGTGCGTGTGTGTACATGTGTATGTGTACAGGTGTGTGCATGTATGTGTGAGTGTGCCTGTGTACGTGTGTATGTATACGTTTGAGCGCATGTGCGTGCTTCGTTTTGATTTGGGCCCTGCTGGAGGGGAAACACCAGGTAAGGACTTGCTCTAAAAGTAGGATGAAAAGAAGGGAAACCACAGGGCTTGGCGTGGAACTCAATAAGGAAGCGAGGTAATCCAATCCTGCGGTAACACAATAACCGCGGTAACACAGTCAGGAGTTACTCGCAGCAGCCCTGCCTGGGGCATTGGGTAAGGGACTCCCTCTGCTTTTCCCTTGAGAGGCCTAAGACGGCCCCCTCCCCTGCCTGCAGACTTTAGAAGAGAAGCGAGGTGGTCTCATTCCTAGAACCACACAAACCAGACTTGCCTCACGGGGTCCCGGCAGCAGCCCGCCCTCACTCGGGCCCTGGCTACGCAGGCCATGGAGATGCAACCCGTCCTCAGTGATGCTCCGTTGGGCTCTTGGCGCCTGGTTTACTGAAAGTGGAACTCCAGGCCTTTCTTGTGAGATGACTTGAACCTCCACCCGCTGTTAGCAGCCGTGTGAGTTAGACGAGCACCCCCAGGGGCGCCCAGGCCCGGAGGAGCTTGGTGGCAGACTCAGTAAGACCCAGGACAGCTGATGACCCCGCTAGAGGCCGGCCCCCAACCCCACAACGATGATGTCGCCCCAGGTAGCTCTGACCACAGGCTCTCGAGATGCGCGGGGAAGAGCTTCCTGCTCTGCAGAGCCACGGACAAGGGGCAGCTGAAGGCAGCGCAGAGTCCAGAAAGCAGCCTGAGAGTGTGGCCTGTGCTGTCCCCAGTGGAGGACAGAGGCCCTTCAGGACTGACACTAACCCTCGTGGGAGCAAATGCCCGTGGACCCCACAAGGGGAGAGGGTCGACCCGAGACCAATTTGGGAGCTCATGCTGGGCCAGCTGCACCCCTGAGACCTGGGAGACACTGGTCCTCTGGAGAGAGAGGCCCAGAAGGCAAGAGGCTAGCTGGCTTTGGAAGCTAGGGGGCTGGGCCTCATGTGACCTGAGGCGGCAGAGGGTGTGGAGCCTGGTCGTCAGAGAGCAAGCGTCCGGCTGCCGGGGCTTCTCTAAAGAGTGGTGAGGACAGGACACGTTAAGGCCAGTGACGAGCTCCAAGCCCTCCCCACCAACATCTCTGCCCCGCAACCCTCGATTCTGGGGACTGACCCCCGGCACCAGGCAGACCTGCTGTAGGTGAACCTGCCACTGGCTGTACTGGGGTGGTCTTGTCAGTCATGTGGGGTCAAGAAGGGAGGATACTAAAGGGCTAAAAACACGCAAAACTAACCACCACCACCCGCCCCCACCTGCCGTCGAGTCAATTCCGACTCATCAAACTTCAAACTCACAGCCGTCCAGTCGATGCTGACTCACAGCGACCCGACAGGACAGGGCAGAGATGCCCCTGTGGATTCCCGAGACAGTCACTCTTTAGAACCGCTGACCTGGAGGTTAGCAACCCGAAGCATAAAGACTCATGGCTGCCAAGGAGTGGATACTGACTCATTGCGACCCTACAGGACAGAGCAGAGCTGCCCTGCGGGTTTCTGAGGCTGTAAGGCTCTACGGAAGCAGAAGGCTGGTGGTTTTGAACCACTGACTTTGGTACCAGCAGCCCAGGACCGCTCCCCATGACCCTCTGCTGGGCTGCTGGGCTGCCGGCTTTCCAGGAGCTGAGAGCCTCTTCGTCCTCTTTTGGAGCAAGCAGTGGTTGAACAGCTGACCTACAGCTGCTCACTGGACTCCCAAAATCTTGCCCTACGTGCTTACTGGCTCTTAAATACACAGCAGTCACCATCCTAACCCCGCCCAAGGCCAGCAAGTCCACTCTGATGCACCCAGCCCTCTGGGTAGGGCAGCACTGCTCCCGAGTGTGCCTGAGCCCGCGGATCTGGAGAGAGGTGGACTGCCTCGTTTTTCTCCTGCGTAGCGGCTGCTGAGTTCAAACCGCTGACCTTTCAGTTTGCTGTCCAGCACGTGAACCACGGTGTGACAGATCAGGGGCACAGGGTGGCTCCAGAGTTGGCCCAGCATGAGAGGCCCCAGAAGGTGGGGCCTGGAGCATCAGACTCCGAGTGGCCGTTCTGGCGGGTGGGCGAGTGAGCACTCTATACATTCCCCGCCTGTGGCGCCACACCGCTGGCATACACAGAGCGTGAGGGACCTCCTGGGCCAGAGTCCCTGGCGTCTCCCCTCCAGCACCCCCCGGGCCAGCTCACCTTCCTAACATGCCTCACACAAAAGCTGCCAGCGTATGCTCAGTGGTCCAGGGTCTGAGGCCGCCAGTCATCTACCCTCAGCGTAGGCTTCCTAGTACCCCTCTCTCCACCCACAAGGCCTCCTAGGGGCAGGTCCTGACCTCCGGCAGGTCACACAGGCCCTGGCCTCTCCTCCTCCACCAGCACACACCCATGCCTGCAAAGCCCAGTCCCCTGCCAGCATCCCACCATGCCCGCTGTATCGGAAGGACCGTGCCATGCCTTTCGCCCACCTCCCTCCTCCTTGTGCTCCACACGGTCACACACACACACACACACACACACACACACACACACGCATGTCCCTGCTACATGAGGTTCACTGGAGGGAGCACGTGCCAGCCCAAAGTCCCCTTTGGCCCTCGGGGACCACCCAGGAATGAGCGCGGTGCCTGCTGTGTGCGGGCTGCCTGGGTGGTGGCCTTACCTGTAGTATCGGGACTGCAGGTAGGTGGAGCAGACGGCCTTGGACACGTGGCTGGCGGAGCCAAAGTCAATGACCTTGACCCGGTAGGGCTGCCTGGACGGGTCGACCAGCATGATGTTCTCGGGCTTGAGGTCGGCGTGGATGAGGCCCAGGCTCTTGAGCTTCATCAGGGCCGTGGCCACCTGCTGGAGGACGGGGCGGATGTACTTGAGGGGCAGCGGGCTGAACTTGTTCTGCTTCAGGAAGTCGTAGAGGTTCTGCTCCAGCATCTCGAAGACCAGGCAGGTGTGGTTCTTGTGCTGGAAGCACTCGTAGGCCCGGACGAAGTTGTAGTCGTCGGCGCTCTCCGTGCTGAGCCGCGCCAGGATGCTGACCTCGATCTGGCCCTGCCGCGCGTATGACGGGTGGTTCTTGAGGATCTTGATGGCCACAATCTCGTTGGTGCCCCGCTTCCAGCACTTCACCACCTGCCCGAACGTGCCCCGGCCCAGGAACTCCAGGACCTCGTAGGTGTTGGTCATGGAGCACAGCACCTCGTGCTGGACCAGCTGGTAGTCGCCCTCGCTGTTGGAGCCACTGTTCTTGGAGGTGGCAGTGGATGTGGCGGCAGTGGCGACGGTGGCCCCGCTGGCGTTGTTCTGGAGCATGGGTGGGTGCTCTTCGATAATCTGCACACTGCTCGTGTTCTCGATCTCCTCACTCTTACGCTTGAGCCCGCATTTCTGGTAGGTGTCGAGGAGGCTCACCGTGCTCCGGCGCATCAGGTTGGACGGCCCCCCGAGGACCTGCCCGGCGACGGAGGTGCTGCTGGCCGAAGTGACCACGATGTGCCCAGCGCTGCCCGGGAAGATGACGGTCTGCTCGTAAGGTAGGCTTGGGTTCGGGATGGGCAGGGAGGTGCTGACGGCGGCGGCGGCTGGCTGTGACGGTGCTAGGTGCTTGCTCTGGCTGTAGACTTTGCCGTGGGAGCCGTACCCAGTCATGTCCCAGCTGGAACTGGCCTCCACCTTCAGCTTCTTCACACTACAGAAGGCACTTGACTGGAGGGTGGGTGGGGAGAAGACGTGCACATGTGAGGCCATACCTGCAGGGAAAGGAGGAGGGGAGACGTGAGCACCCTTGGACCGCCGGGGGAGGGGGGGCCCCCACCCAACAGGTCAAGCCAGCCTCATCAGCGAGAGTCGTCACGTAGCTCACCAAGACAGTGCGCGCCATCCCACGTGGGTCCTACAAACTCGTGGACGGCCGTGGTAGAGGCCGCCCGGGTTTGCCCCTGACCGGAGGAAGGGAGCGTAAAGAAGGCTGAGGACAGGTGCACACCCCCACCCCACCGCCACCCCGTGACCTTGAGACCAGAAGCACTAGATGGTCCAGCTACTGCCACCTGCTCCGGAAGGGATCCCATCAGGAGGTCCAGGATGGAGGGGGAGAAAAACGCAGGACAAAAAACTGGAACATAAAGGAGACCGGGCTTTCTGGTCAGGCAGGAGCCGCAGATGGAGGCCCTGCGTGCTCCTTCAGGCCTGTACTCACGCCGGGCAAGGGCAGACGGGTCTAGATGGTGAGTGGTGACCTGAGGGAGGCACACGCCCACCCCCTCACCCCAGCCCTCTGAACAGTCTGAGAACAGAGGGCAGTGTTTCCCCTTTGCTCTACGACACCGTTCAGAAGAATCGGGAAATGAGGAGAAATGGGACCAGGAAAGAGAGAGAAGGGGTGGGAAGTGTGATGGTACGTGGTAGCTTTTACCACAGAGGAGCCAAAACAACAAAATAATAAGAATTTATAAATTATCAAGGGTTCATGGGGGAGTGGGAGGGGGAAAATGAGGAGCTGATACCAAGGGCTCAAGTAGAAAGCAAATGTTTTGAGAATGATGATGGCAACCAATGTACAAATGTGCTTGACACAATGGATGTAGGTGTGGATTGTGGTAAGCGTTGTACGAGCTCCCAATAAAGCTATTTTCTTAAAAACGAAAAGAAAATGTGAGATGTAGTGGAATAGATAATTTTTCAAAAGGCCTCTTTCAATAAAATATCATATCTGTAAAACAATTTTTTAAAAGTGTGCAGGCGTTTTGAATGGAAAACGGACCTGCTCTGGAGCCACAACAAAAAAGCTAAAGAGAAGAAAAAACACCCTGGGGGTGGGAGAGGAGCCCCCTCGGTCGGTCACTGTGTCCCCGGGCCCACAGGGCTCCAGTGCCCACCAGCTCCGCTGGGGACGCCGCCTGAGAGTCGGGCAAGGGGGCTACCGGGAGGACTTCCTCCTCCGTTGGTTAAAAACAGACAGTCCGTTTGCCGCAGAGATGAGGCTTGCAAGAGAACTGAGGGCAGCACAGACAGCTCTTGCATGCACCCTCCTCCACCTGCTCCCGCAGTCTCTCCTCTCCTACAATTTCTAGGGGGCGTCCCTGCGGTCCCACGTGGTCCCACTGCTACTGGCGACAGCCCTGCAGGCCATGGCAGGGCCCACTCCGAGAGCTGCACAGTTCTGTGGGTTCTCAGAGTGGGTGCAGACACGTGCCCGCCACGGCAGTGCTACATACGACAGTGCCACGGCACACAAAGCACCCTGGGCTCCCCTGTCTCCATTTCCCCAGCACCGATGGCCCGGCCGCCCACTGCACTGGACACTGGCCGTTCCCCAGATGCCGTGATGGTTGAGACGGCCCAGTCGGTCAGCAGCCTTCTCAGTTGGCTTCTCTCCCCCAGCGGTGTGCACTGCCGGCCTCCCTAGCTCTGTCGTAGCACACAGTCCACTCCTCTGTATGACCACAGGGTACCCCACTGCCTGGCTGTGTCCACATGCATCGTTTGGGGGGGGGCCTTGGGTGCCCAACATGAGCTTCTTTGGATGAATTCTCCGGTTCTGACCAGGGGCTTTGGCAGTGGCATGAGTTCGTGGCCCTGAAAGGTGCAGCATCGGTGGGTCGCAGCTCGGCTCTCGGGCTCCAGGGTCCTCCCTAGCCACAGGCACATGGGCACACTCGAGAAAGCAGAGAACTATCTGCCAGCACCCAGTCCCCAAACCAAGGCTGTTAGAAAGCCAGAACAGTAGCCAGGCATGCCTGGCATGAAGTCAACAGCCCAGGGCCAACCCAACAGCTAGCTTCCCAGAGCCTGCCTGGCCCTGACCCCAAGATCTGCCGGAGCTGTCTCTTCTTGCCTGGACCCTGCACTCCAGCCCTGGCCTAGGCGGTGGGACCGGCCGTCTGCATGTGTCCTGCACAGGACAAGGCTGGGGCCCTAACCTCCGAGGCCGGGATGAGATGACCTGTTTCTCCCCACTGCTCCTGAATTCCAGCCAGACCCCCCCAAATCCTGTCACCCCTGCCTGTGGGTCGGTTCCAACTCTCAAGCCTAAAGGAAATAAGAGAGCAGCCCGGAGAGTTTCTGAGGATGTTGGGTTTGCAGAAGTCGCCCGCCACGTCTTTCTCTCTGGGAGTGGCCAGAGAGTGGGTTTGAACCGCAAACCTCCCGGTCACCATAGCTATTTTGCATGCATTGGCACAAATGAAACCTCCACCTTGTCTCGGGCAGGCGGCCACCAAGCCTGCCTTCCTCCCACGGGCTCTGTCTTGCCCCTGTTGCCACCGTCTTCCTCTACTTGGGGTCGGGGGTGACGATTGATGAGGGAGTGGGGGCTCCAGCCTCCGTTTTCATGGCTCCCAAAAGCACACCAGTAGGAAGGTAGGGGGTAGAGCGGAATCTTACAGAGGGGTGGGGGTGGGGTGGCTTACGACTTACTGGGTTGATGGCCAAGGCCATAAAATGGTGGCGGTCATCACTGGCTGCCTCTGGCAACCGATGTCCATGATCGGAGAAGAGACCTGCCTGGCGGGAGACGCCTGGCTTCTGCTGCCCCCTGGGGAGGCCAACCATCAACAGGCCAGACCTGGACCCAGCTGCTCACATAGCCATGTGACCCGGTTCTGTACCGGGAAAGTCCCGGCCCACAGGAGGTTTCTTGGAAGAAAATCTTCAGTAATCATGTGTAAACCGTGTCTGCAGATGGCATAAACCCTGCTGGCGGTTTGTAGCTTAATCTTGAAAGGACTTATGGCCCGCCCCCCCAAGCTAGTGATAGGGTTCAAACAGTGTGTGGGGGTAAACACCATGACCTCTCCCTCCATTTCACCAGACGCTTTTTGAAGCCCCTACCCCTATCTCTCCACCAGCACCCCACAATCATGTCTCTGTGGGTGTCTCCCCGCAACACCTCGTGAGATTGATGCGGATCCCCGACGCAGGGCAGGTTTGGGGTGGGCTAGAGGAAGAGCCCAGTGTCATGTTCCCCCTGATGCCTCCGGTTCGTGACAGACAGGGACAGGGCACCCTGAATCCGACGCCGAGAGATTCTTCACGGATTTCTAAGCTGCCAATTCCCTCCTTTCGGACCCTCGGAAGCCTCGCCAGGCCACCAAGTCACCTGGCATCGGTTATGACGGGAGGAGGTATAGTACACGATTGGAAAATGCCATTGAGAATTGTTTAACATGAGAGCTTCCTCTATCAGACTCATCCTGGCCCGACGGGAAGACTGTCACCAGGAAGAAGGAGTTGTCAGCAGAAACAGGAAAGCAGTAGGTGAAACACAGACCTTGCAGAGTAGAGAAGGCCGGCCTTTTGGTGGCCGAGATGTGAAGCAATAGATGGAGGGGTTACGTGGATGAGCGGGGCTCCTGGGGGTACTGGGAGCACGAGGAGGGGTGCTAACATGTTTGTCTTAGTGGGTGCAGAGAACAGAACCGGTCTTTGGCAAGTTGAACTCCACACTCTACGTATCAGGAACCTCTGGTTACAGACGACCAATCAGCATCTAGTTCCTATTTGTTGGGGCTCATCTTGAATGAGGAGCGTAGAAAACAACAGGAGGGGGCTAGTCTGCTCAGTGTTAGTGGGAGGGTGGGGGGGTCAACTAAGAGAGCTGCCGCCTGAGGGAGCAGAGAGGCCCGTTTGAAGAGCTCTCGTGGGGTCCTCCCTGGGTCCTCCCAAAGCCAGTGTCCACTTGGGTAGCCCATGATTCCCGGGAGTGTGAGACTGCCCTCATGTCTGCCATCTGATGTGATTATCCTCCATTGGGGGGTGTTGTAAATCCCACCCTCTACATGTCAATGGGGCAGGATTAAGGTGGGTTTAGCTTGAGTCACAGCCTTACAAGTGGGCAGGACTCAAGTCACACCCTTGCTTGAGACAAGGGGAGAGAAGCCAGCAGAGAAAGTGGGCCCAGCTGTCACCGAGAAAGAAGAGTCGGCATCCTTTGGACCTGAGGTCCCTCCTAGAGCCAGGGGAGGAGAGATGCGGGACACAAGGGGCTCTGCAAGGCAGGCCGGGCTCCCAGTGCGGAGCCGATAGAGACAGCCCCAGGGCTGGCAGCGGAGTGAGTCTTCCCCTGGAGCTGGTGCCCTGAGTCCAGACTTTGGCCTCCTCACCGTGAGAGAGTACCCTCATGTGTTCAAGTGGCCTTTCGGATAGAGCAGGACAGAGACAAAGATGCTGTGCCCTCTCAGGGTGGAACTTGTTCTCAGCATCGGAGCAACAGGTGCTGAGAAAATGCCAGGGCCGGAGGATGGGTTAGAGGTCCCGGAGAGAGATGGTGACCTATGGGCCCAGGTCAGTGCCGAGATGGACACAGAATCCTTGAGGAGGTCCACTTTGACTGGGGGTGGCGGGCGGGGGCAGATGCAGCAGTCTGGGGCTGGGGCTCACTGAAGGTGTCCAGTAGCCTGAGAGCAGTGTGTGTCAGGGAAAGCCAAGGATCAGACGGGGATGGAGCACAACTCCAGG